TCCCAAGCAAAAGGAAAACACTGTCGCCCCACGCCTGGATGAGTTCTTGTGTTTTCCACAGGCCACACGCAAGCACTTACAATGGTCTGAGCTGAAGGCGGGTGCAGGCTGCACCTGCCACAGGCAAGGTTTGCAAGTCCAGCCCAATGACGAAGACCTGAAGGCCCTGTACATAGAAGTCCCGTCACCTCTATGCACACAGTATTCATATCATCAAAACTATACGAGCCCAGTAGGCAAAAAACGTCGGCCCAGAAGACCGACAGATGGGAATTCTAGTGGGCTTACCGCAGCCTGGCCGGAGCCCTGGGGCGTCACTGTAACAAAGGTGTGAGCACAACATGCATACTCGAGTTTCGGCAGCTCGAAGCACTCCACTAGAAAACGAGTTCTTAAAAGGAATTAACATTGAGCCCACAGGCCCCCTGGCTCTTGCTCTCAGGTGCACTTGCGAAGCGTTGCAAGCAGCATGTCGGCAGGTGTGGTTAAGTCCGAAGGGCTTCGCCATGCAAGATTCCGCTGAGCGAGTGTGCAAACAGGTTCAAGCCACCCAGACGAACAGCGCATGGCGCCCCTCGCCTTCGGCCTGGCTTTTGGCTGCGCCTTGGCAGCGGCCTGTGCTTCCTGCCAAGCTGCCTCTTGCGCTTGCCTGAGTGTTTTGAAAGTTCTTAAAGCAGAACGGGAACAGGATTCACTGAGATTCGCTCACAAAGGCTTCCTCGTCCTGCTGTGCTCGAAGCTCCTCGTCAGCCATAGGCGATCACAAGAGATCGCAGATATGGATGTCCAACTCCTCTTGCATCATTTGCCACGCGAGTTGAGCATCTGCGTCCCTGCCCAATTCCCCGGTGATGTCATCAGATCAACACATCGCTCAGGCTTGAACTCCATCGAGCCAGGAACATAGGCCTTGCCAGAGAGCAAAGCGATCAGGCTTAAGCTGCTGACTCGTCCGCATTCTATTCGGAGCCTTGCAGGCCTTACGACGCTGCATGTGCCCCAGCCTCTCCGACAGCGCCGGCTGCCTGAAATTGTTACATGATGTCTACCCTGATTGACAATTTTCGAGCAATGTCTTTCCAAACTTGGAATGAAACAGTCCGTTGTCCAAACAATCGTTGCCAGGCATGTTGACGGTTCTGGCCCCATTCAGGAAGTTTTCATGTCGGGCAGTTGGACCGATCTCTATGCATTGCAGCAAACTCTGTGCAATCTTCGATAGAGGCTTCGTTCACGAAGACCAGTTTAAGGAGGGGTGCAGCATTGGTTGCAGTAAGACACGTGCTGATTTCATGTTGGCCAAAACCAGGGCTTTGACCTTGGTTTCCGATAGCAATTATGTGAGGGCACGCGATTTTCCTGGACAGACGCCTTCTCAACTTCGCTCAATTGTGAAATCTTTGGTGAGGAGATCTTCGTGGTTAGACCATCCCCAATAGACCTTTGGGGCAAAGCCTTCCAATCCTAGCGAGTGGTCCCTAAGCGAAGATGTCTGCCAAACAGTCCTTGATGCTCACAGGGATAGTCTACTGGATCGAAGCTAGTGATGCTACACAAGGCTTGCAGACTTGCAGGATCGCCACAGAAAGCTGAACCTCACTAGTGGCATGCAGGTTCCTTCTAGCCGGGGCCGTTCACCCACATTCCGTAAGACCTGGGTTCACAGAGCGCAAAAAAAAGTCGACTCATTGGCTTGTGCGTTCGCCAAACCTAAGAGATTGTGTCGAGAACTGCTCTTCAAGGCTGCCACGTAGCCCTCGCAGATGAAAATCCCGCTTGGTTCGTAAGTTTGCACAACACACTTTTAAGAACTTTCGTCGGGTAGCTTCCAAGTTGCACCTCGGAGCTCTTGCGGACTTTTCCTAACACAGAACCTACGAGCCTCTCTAGGAGTTGCTTTTGATGAATTTCGGAAGTCCGGAGTGCATGAAAAGTGTAAGTCTAAGCGCGATGCTATTGCTGATTGGAAAAGCAAAGTAAGAATCACCTCTACAAACGACAAAGCTGCTGTAAAGGTGTTTTTGCGATGACAAAGGTTCCTTTGTGTGTTCCCCGACTAAGATGATGGCTATGCTCACTGCGCATATGCAAGAAATTTACAATCATCATTCCGAGTTTGATGTTTCGTTAGTTCACGCTCTTTATGGCCAGTCAGTTCAGCGTATCCAGGCTGAGCGTCTCGACTCTCAACCATACTGACGTATTTAAGTTGCTTCATAAGAACTTTGCCAACAAGTGTAGCGGCTTGGACGGATGGGCTGTTGCAGAGCTGCATCAACTGCCGCCGAGCGGGTGGGTAGTCTTTACGTTCGTAATGAAGTTAGCCGAAGCCTGGAGTGTGGCCTGCAGTTATTCGCGTACTGTAAGCGTGTTTAGTATTGCAAAAATGACACCGTCCGATCTATTGAGGACACCAGGGCCATTCGCATTTCTTCGGTGATCTACCTTTTTTGGTCGTCTCTCAGGTTTAGGCAGCTATCTGGGTTGTTCAATAGAGTGTTTCCTTGCAACATTCTTGGAGGTGTCAAAGGTAGAAGCACAGATGCTTCGGAGCTTGATTTGTCTCATGATCTTACGAGTGAGCGGTGAGGCATCAGGCATTGATGACGTCATCGGGCTGTTTATCGACAGATGGAAGTGTTTCGACTTGATTGTTCCCGAGTTGGTCCTGCAGGTTGCTGAAGGTTTAGGTTTCCCCTCACACGTTGCCAAGGCAGCTAAAGGTTTTTCATCTGAACCCAGTAAATCTCATTTGAGGTAGGCAGTTCCTTTGGAAGCAGGGTTTTGTCTACTAAGTGGGCCGTTCAAGGGTGCAGTCATGGTTATTTCGTTGTGCACAACAGGCCCAATCTCAGTTTGGACTGATTGTGCAATGGTATTGAACCGCATTCAGGTACTTCAGGCCCACTTTTATGACAAAACAGTTGCACGAAAGTTTGACAATCTTTGGTGTCTCTTCTGTGACGTGTCGTTGGGTCACGAGGGCGAGGTTCTTTTCTTTAAGGTCAAAGCCCATGTAGCCAAGACAGACTCCAGCAATCAGTGTCGTGGACCAAGAGGAACTCCGAAGCAGACGCTGCCGCTAAACAAGTGGCGCGTGAACGATTTCTGACTCAGCTGTCTATGTTTAAGTCAGACAAACTCATCTTGTCCGTACTATGGTTTCTAGGGCTCAGACATCTCTTCTAATTCCCTTAGATGGGTTTGAACCTGTTGATGGTGCTCCTAGGGGTCTTACGTTGGCGGCCAAGACACAGTGCTTATGCAAACCCGCCCTCGACTCAACACCAAAGCCCCCACAGTCTGTTTGGGTTATTGTCGAGGTTGTATTGAAGAATTTTTTTCCGTTTGTGTCACTGCCCTGCCAATCCCCGGGAACACAATCCAAACAGTCCAACAGTTGTACTCTGGCTTCGCCCGCCTATTCCGTGCCCCAGGCCATCCTTCCAATGTTTCGAGTGCGAACACTTACAAAGCGGGGTCGCGGCCAAGTGCCCTTTGTCCCAGAATGCTGCCTGTAGTTTGCTTGCCTATTTGGTCCTTCCATGATACAGATCTGAGAATTAAGGTCACATGTGTTCAGCTGGCACTCGATTTCGTGTCGCGAGGACGGATTCCAGCCGGGGCCGGCTGTCTGCCGAGATTTTTGCTGGCATACTGGCCTCGCGTTTTCGGTCTTTCTTTCTGAAGACATTGAAAGCCGACGATATCGTCATTACGACGGCCAGTCGCAGAATTCTCCACGTTTTTGGGTTGCCTAATCGATCTGTTTCTATGGTTCCGTTTACTTTGGTTTTTTCTTTCATTAGATTTTATGCCTGTGTCAAGCGAATAATTTCTTCGCGACCGAAACCTTGCTTCCCAATCAGAAGCCCCGAGCCCTCATTAAACCCGGCTCTTTAACTTCTGTACCCCATCCCATCGTATTCACCTGCTGCAGGCTTCAATTACATAAGCTTTTCGGGATTCCTTCTTGAACCTTGCATCGATGCCCACGAGGCTCAGATCCAGAATGTCGCAAAACGTACTCAGTCGCTTGTGGAGCTACTGCCTTCAAGACACACTATGCGTGCTGCACCCAGAAGCCTGCTGTCCAGAGCGAAACTCTGCGTCAACATAGTCAGTATCTCCATCAACCTGTCAGCCGTTGTCCATGCCACGTAGTTTCATACTGCAACATTACATGCTCATCAGCTCAGCATGCCTTGTCAAACCTCTCCCAAACCACTTCCGAACTGGAAAATGCAATGTCTGTACCTCAGTCACATCGGTGGTACTTCACTACACCTGTTGTGCAACATGCTCCTATGCCAACCGGCCCTGCCAAGACTCGGACAAAGCAAGTAAAGCTGACCTGAAGCACCATAGATCAGACGAAATTCAAGACACACGCAAAAGCCTGTCATGTGTCTGGTCCGTCTAGGCAGGGGGCCATCGAACTTCAGCATCGTGTTGAAATGAGAATTGCGAAAAAACACCTTGCAAACAATCAACTTTCTCCTGCACCGCATCCCTCCTCTTTGTGTGGAGTTTGAGTCTGTCTCGAAATATCTCGAAATCTTCATCAACTCGCACACTCGCGATCACCATGTGTACGACGAGATGCGGTGCAGGAAGAGGGCAAGTACGAGGCAAGGTCTCTAAATTGACAGAGTATGACAACCCTGAGTACATCCATCGCCGTTTCGAAGGTTGGCAGAACAAGCACTTCGCGCATACTCCGGTCTGCACCGCTTCGAGATGTTGCAATTAAGCACTCAAGCTGGTAAGATGTGAGACCGCTTTTCATGGGCCACGTCTGATTGCTTGTTGCTGAGCAGAGTTTGGAGCTCAGCAAGAATTGTGTGGGACCCGAAGATCCACAGGTCGGGATACACAGTCTGTTCATCCGCTAGCACTAGTCCGTTACGATCGGTACAGTGAAAGATGGTGGAAGCATGCAGAAGCACGACAAAGCGGACACCACTCCCCCTTTTTCGGATGGCCGTCAACCGTAGCGGTCAGGTCCGGATTAGCCGGTCGGAATTCGGACCGGTAATCCTCGGAGTCGGCTACGGATCGGTATTCGGTTAGCCGGCGGACCGAGGTGCGGCACGGCCGGCTGACGGGAAGGACATCGCTGAGTATACGGCCTTCTGGTCTATATAAGTCCAGAAATTAAACCAGAAGTCCAAGACAGGATAATTCCAGGACAGAAATCCAAGAGGATTGGTGGAGAAAGGGGACGGGGGCGGGCAAGATTTACTGTCGGCAAACGGACCGGCACACTCGAGTCGAACGGCTGCGGCGATTACGACTTGCCGTTGCGAGCTAGCGGATAAACACAACACGACTCGTCGAGAAACCGTTCATCCACTAGCACTAGTCCGTTACGATCGGTACAGTGGAAGATAGTGGAAGCATGCAGATGCACGACAAAACGGACATCACTCCCCTCCTTTTCGGATGGCCGTCAACCGTAGCGGTCAGGTCCGGATTAGCCGGTCGGAATTCGGACCGGTAATCCTCGGAGTCGGCTACGGATCGGTATTCGGTTAGCCGGCGGACCGAGGTGCGGCACAGCCGGCTAAGAGGAAGGACTTTGCTGGGTATACTACGGCCAATGATTAGAACCCCGAGCCCCGAGCAACGAGCGAAGGAGTACCCGTGCCGGGAAACCCCAGCCAAATTCAGAACTCCAAGCCACACGAAACGAGGGAAACCCCAGAGTCCGGAAGGATCAATCCGGTCGACCGGCCGGAAATAGTTAGTGTTAGTGAAGCATCATGAGCTTCGGGAGGATAATAGCGTGGGCGAGGCGAAGCCGACAGGAGACACCACGGGATCTCCACCTCGTCAGATGCCGATAAACCCAAAGGTTTGGGGCAAGCAGAGCGGCTCAAGCCGTCAGCAACCTTGTTCCAAGGAACATGGTCAATATGAATGGAGAGCGCAAGATGGCGCTGGCAGGAGAAATAGGTGCGGAGCAAGTCGCACAGTCCGCGGGCTGTAGAGAGTCCTTTCCAGGAGGCCGAGTCGGATGGCGAGTTGTCGCATCGGCTCACGAAATGCGCAGGCGGGTGGGCAGCAGGAATGAGAAGCGCAACGCACCAGACCAGAGCAAGTTGACCCAGGAGCTCCCATGCTGCAACGAATTTCTGCGGGGAGGACTCGGCGGGAAACCATTTGAAGAGGTCCGAGAGCTCTCTGCGAGACAATTGAGCCTGTAGACTAACGAAGCCACCGATGCCCGCGTGAAGGGCACCCGCACAAGCATCCACAAAGGATTCACAAGACAGGAGCGGAGCCAAGGCGAGCGGAAAGATCGGGCAGTCATTAGAGATGCATGATGCCCACATACATAGGACCTCCTGGGACTCTGCAGAAAGCTTGCGGTCCGAGCCCGGCGGCATACGCACCGAAATCCAGTGCTCACCAGGAAAGGCAATCGGAACTTCGGAAAGTCCAGATATCTTGCGGTTGGCAACGGAAACGAGAGTGCAACCCTTAGGGCAGCTGGCAAGTCCAATATCACGCAGCAAGCGCAAGTCATTGGAAAGCGAAGATCGCAAGGAAGACCAGAGGTCCGGAGACACGGCAACGTGCACCGTGGGAGGAAGACTCTGATCACGGTACAGTGATCCAGTGACGGACGGAAGGGCCGGAATAGTGCATAGAAAAGCGGATGAGAAGAAGCATAACGCACAGGAGGGCAGCCCAAATCGGGGCGGTGGGACCGGACAGGAGCGAAATGAGGTCATCCACGTAGACAAGGAGGGCATGCCGGACGAATATCAGGCGGTGAAGCAACCTGGAAAGCATGCCGGCCAAACGCGCCCAGTAAAATCCGGAAGCGCAGGCCCCAAAGTTGAGAGTCGGGCACTGGTATAGCTGTTGGCGGTGGAAGAGAGAGCAGACGGTTGGGTTAGCAGACCTGTTAGAAAGATGGGTGTGCGCGGTGACGCCGGAAACACTGCAGCCGCGGAGCCCGGTCAGGAGCGCCGGATCGGAAAGTGCTGAGCCCCAGGACGACTCGCAATGACAACGAGGTCGATTTCAGGCGAAGGCGCAGGCGGGGCAGGAAAGAGCGAAGGCATGGCGGCATGGGTTCGTCGACTCCCAAAGTCAAGGCACACCTGAGACAAGTGTGTCAACAAAATGCGACATCCGGGTCACGAGAAATGGTGAGAAGAATCTCCAGGAGGAAAAGGCGGAAGGGTTGGCCAGCAGGAGCGGTAAGAATGGCTTGAAAGTCCGCATCAGACAGACCAAGCAAGGCACGAAGGTCATCAAGTAATGGAACCAAGTCAACCGGTTGAGACAGAGCCCGCACCATCCTCGACTCTAGAAGTGGAGGACAGCAGCGCCGCAGAACTTCCAATCCTGCCACCACCCCAACCCTGTCGCCCGGAGAAGGTCTCTAGCCTGAAACCGCGTTCAAGGCTAGCCAATCTCCAGGATGGACTGGGTGGGCAATTCTGCGTAACCGGCCATGTGAACCCCAATAGCTCGATACCTCGAATTAGCTGCGATGTTTCCTAGCAAACACCTTCGATGTTTTACTAGCCGAAACACCTTCGATGTTTCAAGCGATGGAAGTTTAGCGCTAGCATACACGGTAAGCACCCGCCACTCTAGCGCTTCCCCTTTCAGNNGTCGAAGCTAGCGAAATTCTCGTTCGTGTGGTCGTCTGCTAGCTCTAGCTCTTCAGCGAGCTCCATGAGGGTTAGCGTGGATGGGAACTTGGTGGTCATAGCCTTCCGTAGCAGGGCCTCGTTCGACTGGTTGTCGGTGTAGCCACGGATAGCCACCCGGGACGATTTCTGAGCGTCCTCTCTGAAACCCAAAGGCGGACCCCGACCAGCGTAGCCAGGAGCTCTGCAAAGGCCCAAAAGGCCCAGCTGTCCACCACCTCTAGCGAAAACCAAGGGCCCCACTAGCTCGAGGAAGCCGCCAATCCGCGCACGTCCACCTTCTGCCTTCGCGTCCGTAAAGAAGCTCAGCGGGGCCGCGTCTTCCAATAGCGTCTCGGGTTTCTGTAGCCTCCCGCCCCCTTCCAGTCGGTCCGCCAACCATCCACATAGCACCCGGATCATGGTAGGTAGGCGGCCAGCCTTGCTTCCAGGCGTGTAGCGGACCCAGAAAAGGCCGCTCTCAATCTAGCGCAGTGGAAGCCTTTCCGAGTCTCCCTAACCCCTGAGCTTCGGTCTTCCCAGTCCGGGCTAGCTTGCGGAGACCTAGCTTGTAGGTCCCGGAAACCACCTCGCGTCTTAGCCCACTTGAACGGGTAGCCTAGGGCAGCCAAGAAGAGGTAGCTTCGCGGGATGCCCCGATCATCGAGCGGGAAGTCGGGTCCCAACAGGTGGTAGGGTTAGCCTCAGCCCGCATGCCGCTATCCGGATCCACCAGTCGCTAGCACAGGATCGCCCAATCCAAGTTCACATAGACGGTTTGGCCAGCCCACAGAGAAGGCGACTTCCTCGTCCTCTTCATGTTCCCGTAGCAGATGCTTCTTCTCTCTAATAGCATCCGGGGACCTTAGCTTATCCCGGCATTTGCTCCGGTGGTTATAACGCGCACACCATGGGTAGCGTTGTGGATGATACGCTTCTTGTCCAGCGCCTCATCCTCCACGATGACCGCTAGCGCTGCAATAGCGGTGTGCTCGCCATAGCGTTCGAGGAATTCACCCGGAGACATCTTAGCCATGAGGCCCTCTTTCACGTCCTCCTCGAACTTAGCTCTAGCGAAGTCCCGATGGTCCTCGACAGAGCCATAGTTGGGGACCCACGCTGGAGCGTTTTCCATAGGCCACTTTAGCTGCTCCTCAAAAACATGAGGAGTCCTTGGTAGCAGGTCCAGCGGCTTCTATAGGTACAGCGGTTGCGCAACTGGTTCGCCGAGGTCCTGCACCTCTAGCCAATCCTTCCAGAGCTGCCGAAGTTGTTCTTGTAACTCTGGATCGCGAGCGAGGGAGCAGCCCCGCTCGCCCCCAGCTGCCATCTTGAAGGCCTCCTTCTCTAGCTGCTCTGAAACGGGGAGGCCCCGCTCCGCTCAGCGCCCGGGCCCTCGGGCTGGTTTATCGGGAAGGATTCCTGTAGCGGCTCGTCGGGCTTAGCAAAGTCCCCCTTACCAACGGCGGCTTCACGACGACAAGAAAGCCACTGGCAGAGCTCAGCGGGCCGCTGTTACAGAACCTGTGGTTTTGAAAGCACCCTTAGCTTGTCGCTGGAACATGCCGCCATAGCGCTGTGCAGAGGGTAGCGGACCAGTGTAGGCACCTTTTTCATCATAGCAAGGCAATCCCTCGTAGACACAGTCAGGCATCTGTAGCGCAGTGCGGAGAAGCAACCGAGTGGCTTTAGCGTAAAGGGGTTCCGAAGCTAGCCCCTTCTGGAGAAGGTCGGCTAGCTGCGGCCACTGCCACATGGAGGCGAGCCGGAGCCCCTCATGGTCCAGATGCTAGCGCTCCAAGGTCCTCTGGTTGCTCCATAGCCATGAATGAAAGTAGCAGCGCCTTCGGCCACGAGGGCCTCGGGTAGCGACCTCGAAGGAGAAATCCGCAAAGATGTTCCCGAGGATAGCGCGATGGCCGTGTTCAGCATAGGGCCAATTTTTTCCCGGCTGGAGCACCCGTGTCCACAACCGCTGGCCCAGGAACCACGATGAGAGCAGGGGTGGCCGGCTCGGCGCCAACGCCAAAGGCACTGCGGGCCAACTGGCGGAGCGGATGAAGGCCTCCGATGCGCACCATGGCAGGCAAGAGCAAAAAGCAGGAGATGCTGAAAGCTTGAGAGCGGCAGCTGCGGCAGAAACCGTAAGTTCATGCTGCCTGCTCCAGCCTGCAACTAGGGAGGAACGGACACAGCGGCATCCGGGTCTGGGCATCCACGACCGAAAGCTGCAGGGCTGGGTCGGGCCTGGGCGGAAACCAAGAACGATCGGAACGGCTGATTTCCAGGCGAAGGAACACGGACCGAAGCCGATCGCCTGCAAGGCAAACAAGCAACATCTGGCCGAGCCAAAAGCAGAAAGGGACCGGCCTCCGCGGAGACGGACTGGAGGACCTCCCGCGAACTGTTACGGGAACTCACCCTTCTACGGTCCCGCTTTCGTCGACGGCGGCACGACGGAGAAGAGGAGTCAGGTGCTGGCATCAAGCCTTCGACAGCCTATGCAAGATTCCTTAGTGTACCGTCGGCAAACGGACCGGCACACTCGAGTCGAACGGCTGCGGCGAATACGACTTGCCGTTACAAGCTAGCGGATAAACACAACACGCAACAAAACCCGGCTTCTGCCTTCTGCAGGTCGACCCAGCGACTCATGACACGGTACCTCAATGGCACCTGGTACATAGCTCCAACCACCCCAGCCCGACATGTGTTTCAGCGGCAGATTGATACCAGTTACCACCTGCAGAACTGAGTGACGAATCGACGAATCAGGTATGTTGGATCCTGTTTGATGGCCAGTGCTTTTTGTGTGATTCCCGTCGCGACACATCAGCCTGTAGCACCTGTCAGCCTGTCAGCGACGTCGTCGCATGTCGGCTGTCCGTCAGTCTCTGCATGTCTTTGCAGGCAACCAAATTTGCCCTTTGCACAGGGCAGGGAGGTTTATGCGGGATTTGATGGCAAAAAGCGCGGACACTCCAGCGACAAGGCCATCTCACGAATTCAAAGGAATACATGAATAGCTCTGCTCTTAATGTTGACACCCTGGCTACAGCGTAAGCAGGCCACGGCGAGTTGTCGTTCCCGAACAGTTTGCTGCAGAGCCTCAGCAAAGTTGAGCCCAAATCGAACAGCATGCAGAAGGTTGCCAGCTCGATGCAGCTAGGACATCTGCAGAAGGCTTTCAGAAGACCCAAGAGCGAACATGCCGAAGATACCCGAGGCCACACAAGATTGTGCGCTTTTGTCACCCTCTCACTGCCTCCGATGCAGCCGAGGCCCTGTACACATCTGTACATCTGTCCCTGTACAACTCAGGGAGCTGCTCTGTCCCGAGATACCGCTCAGTGAATTTGATCACCCTGCCACCAGCAGCGGCGGCAGTCACACCGCGCCGCACATGCGGGAAAAACACAAATGGTGATCCTTTCCTGGTGGGCTGAGGTGGCATCTTTGTCATGTGTTGCCTTTCCGAATGGTGAAACGCTGTAGATTTGTCCAAAACCTGGACCAAAAGCAACGAGAGGCACGCCTGCTTCGCCGTACAAGCTCCCTACAATTGCAGCCACGAAACTCGATCCAGGACATCTGACTGCAAGCCTCGAGCAGTACTGATCAATTGCCCCGATGTTCTTGAGCTCTGCACAAGTCAACCGACTTGTTTACTGAGCTCAATAATAGTCACAGGACACTCTTGATGCACTCACAGTCCGTGTGTGCAAACGCTTACTAAGCAATGAGCTCACTCCAATCTGCAAGTACTCGCTGAGCAACTTTACGACTTGTGCTACCTGTAAGTAGAGTTTGTGCGATGTGAAAACAAAAAATGCTTTGATCATGTCCCAGGCCTTGTTGAGGCATTCCTTGCAGCCATCGGCCATTCACCAAGTCTGGATCTGGCCATACCGACGGGCCTCGACCTGACCTGCAGTTGCCATCGCGGATGAACAAGACTGGTCATGGGTGCAAGTTTGAGATCACTGACAGAGCATTGCTCAAGACTGCGTGATACCCCTACCAAAGATCAGAACCCGAACTCAGAAAGGGTGGTCCGTCCCACCGTGCTGTTCAGGTCGATAAGGTCAATAACCATTCGATGGCAGCCCGATCCCATCATCCGACGTGTTCTCGCTGGAGGCTGTCAGTAAGTAGTTGAGTGTCGTCGTCGTCGTCGCCGCCGTCGTCGTAGTCGTCGAGGTGGTGGTAGTAGCAGTAGCAGTAGCAGTAGCAGTAGCAGTAGCAGTAGCAGTAGCAGTAGGAGTAGCAGTAGGAGTAGGAGTAGGAGTAAGAGTAGTAGTAGTAGTAGTAGTAGTAGTAGTCGTAGTCGTA